CAGAATGAAGATTCTTTGATAGAGATATCCTGCAATGATCAATTGCAAGAAGAAAGATTACAAGGACAACCAGTTTTCAGAGACAGTGATGAAGTATGCCTTAAGGAAATGCTTGAAACAGAGCAAGGCACATCAGTAATAGAGACTTGTACATCAATTGTTGAGGATATCCTGAAAAGAGAGGATCAAGTGTCAGAAGAATTCAATGATATCCTTAAAGATGTGGATTTTAAAATAGAAAGTGAATCCCTTGAAGAAATAATGACCTATGAAGCACAGGAACACACAATTATAATTAAAAAAGATGACTATGAACATTTCCAGCCAGATGCTAGAGAATCACAAGTAGACGATATTCAGGCCAGGATTAGTCACATAGAAGAAGAAATTTTAGGAGAAGAGCAGTTTGTGGCTGAAGAGCAGTTGGTGGTCCATAATGAAGATACTTTGATAGAGGTATCCAGGCATGACCAGTTGCAAGAAGATGGATTACAGGGACAATCTGTTTTTAGAGACAGTGATGAAATATGCCATAAAGGACTGCTTGAAACAGAACAAAGAACATCAATAAATGAGATGTGTACATCAATTGTTGAGGATTTGCTGAAAAGAGAGGATCAGTTGTCAGAAGGGTTCAATGATATCCCTAAAAATGTGGACTTAAAAGCAGAAAGTGAATCCCTCAAAGAAATATTGACCTATGAAGTACAGGAACACACAGCTAAAATTCAAAATAATGACTATGTATATTTCCAACCAGATACTAGAGAATCACAAGAAGAAGATATTCAGGTGAGGATTGGTCACATAGGAGAAGACATTTTAAGTAAAGAACAGTTAATAGCTGTAGAGCAGTTGGTTGTCCATAATGAAGATTCTTTGATAGAGGCATCCTGCAATGGCCAGTTGCCAGAAGACAGATTACAAGGACAGCCAGTTTTTAGAGACAATGATGAAGTATGCCATCAAGAACTGCTTGAAACAGAGCAAAGCACATCAGTAATAGAGACTTGTACATCAATTGTTGAGGATATCCCAAAAAGAGAGGATCAAGAACTGCTTGAAACAGAACAAAGCCTATCCGTAACAGATATGTGTTCATCAATTGTTGAAGATGTCCTGAAAGAAGTGTCAGAAGAATTCAATGATATCTTTAGAGATATGAATTTTAAAGCAGAAAGTGAATTTCTCGAAGAAATAATGACCTATGAAGCACAGGAACACACAGCTAAAATTCAAAATGATGACTATGAACATGAACATTTCCAACCAGATGCTAGAGAGTCACAAGAAGAAGATATTCATGTCAGGATAGGTCACACAGAAGTTAAAATTTTACCAGAAGAGCAGTTTGATGAGGCTTTCCCAGCGGAGAGGTCCAGGCTTAACCAACTACATGACGATATCTTACTTAGTCAACCTGTTCCCAGAGAGAGCAAAGAAGCTTACTCTGAAAACTTGCATGAAACAGAGCAGAGCAAATTAACAGTCGAGATTTGTAATTCCATTGCTGAGGAAGTCCTCATAGAAAATAGTTTAGTATCAGAACAAGAAAGGGATGTCTTCAGAGAAGGGAGTTTAACGGAAGGCAAACCCCACAGTGAAAAATCAACCTGTGAACTGGATGAACTTCACCACACAGATGAGGAACCAAATGACTACATATATGAGGATTCATCGATAAAGACCAACAAATCACATGAAGATGATAGTGAAATCAATACTAGTCTCTTAGAAGTGGAACATTTAACTGAAGAACAGCTTGTAGCTGAAGAACAATTTGAGGTAGACAATGAATCTTCTGGGATAAAGGGATCAAAAAGTGACCATTTACAAGCTGAAAGATTACTTGAAAAAACTGTTTTTGGGGAGAGTGGTGAAGTAAACCCTGACAAGATGCAAGAAATACAGCAAAGTGAATCAGCAAATGAGATATGTACATCCGTTGTTGTAGATGATTTGAGAAATGGTCTAGTATCAGAAGAAAGCAGAGAATTCTCTACTGAAACGGGTTTTAGAGAAGAGAGCATATCCCACAGTGACACATCCACCAGTGAAGCAAAAGAACTGCAAGACAATACAGCCGAGGAGCAAGATAATGACCACATAAAGGAGGTTTCATTGATAGAGGTGAGAAAATCACAAGAAGATGAAAGTGAAGGCAATATTGATCATTTAGGAGCAGCTATTTTAATTAAAGAACCGTTTGTAGCTGAAGAGCAATTAAAGGTTGATAATGAAACATCTCTGATAGAGGGATCAAGCACCGGTGACCAATTGCAAGAAGATAGGTTACTTGGACAACCAAATTCCAGAGACAGTGATGAATTATGCCATGAAGAACTGTTTACAACAATGCAAAGTATATCAGTGGTCGAAATATGTACATCGGTTGTTGAGGATGTCTTGATAACAGAGGGCTTGGCATCAGAAAAGTACAGAGAGGTCATTAAAAATGCAGATTATAAAACAGAAAGTGAATCCCTCAATGAAACACCTACCTATGAAATACAAGAACAAAGACCTGCAAAGCAAAATAATGACTACACTCAAGAAGATGTACAGTTAGAAGACTGGAAATCACAAGAGCAAGTTAACAAAGGCAAAACTGGTCACATAGAAGCAGAGTTTATAGATGAAAAGCAGATAGTAGTTGAACAACAATTGGTGGTTAATATTGATGGTTCCACAATAGAGGGATTGCAAGAAGAAGATAGCAAAATCAAGATTCGTCATATTGAAGTAGAATTTTTAAATGAAGAACAGCAGGTGGCTGAAGAGCAGTTGGTGTTCCATAATGAAGACGCATTGCAAGAAGACAGATTACAAGAACAACCTGCTTCCAGTGATGAAGTAAGCAACCAAGAACTGTATGAACAAGAGCAAAGGACATCAATGGTTGAGATGTGTCCAATAACTGTTGAAGATGACTTGATAAGAGAGGATCTAGTGTCAAATGAATTCACTGGGGTCTCTAAAGATGTACATTTTACATCAGAAAGTGAATCTCACAATGAATCAACTACCTGTGACGTACAAGAACAGATGGCTATCATGCAAAATTCTGACAATATACACAAAGATCTCCATCCAGATGCCAGTGAATTACAAGTAGATTATAGTAAAGAAAATATTGGTCTCATAGAAGCAGAATTTCTAACTGAAGAGCCATTTGTAGTCACAGATGAATCTTGCCTAGCAGAGGGATCCAGCAATGACCAGTTGCAAGATGAAAGATTACTCAGACAACCTGTTTCAAGAGATAAAGATAAATTATGGCCTAAAGAATTGCCTGAAATAGAGATACGTTCATTAAAGAATGAGATATGTACATCCTTTTCTGAGGATGTCCAGATAAGAGACATTTTAGGATCTGCAGAGATCACACAGAGATCCTTATAGAAGCAGATTTACTACAAGAGAGTAAATCCTACAGGGGTACGTCCGCGTGTGAAGTGGAGGAACTACAAGAACACACAGATAGGGAGAAAAATGATGACCATATATATGAGGTTTCATTGACAGAGACTAGCAAATCACAAGAATTTGACAGTGAGGTCAATGATGTCTACTTAGAAGCAGAAAATGTAGCTGAAGAACAACTTGTATCTATGAAGCAATTTGAGGTCCCTAATGAAGCTTCTCAGATAGAAGGATCCAGCACTGAGCAGCTGCAAGAAGATGGATTACTTCAAAAAGAAAGTGATGAATTAAACAGTGAAGAACTTTATGGCACAGAACAAAGTTCATCAGTGGTCAAGATACGTGCATCCATTGTTGATGATATACTAAGGGAAAGTCTAGTGTCAGACAAATTAAGTGGGATCATTAAAGATACTAAATTTAAAGCAGAAAGTGAATCCTACAATGAAACAACTGCTTGTTATATACAAGAACACTCAATTGAGAAGATAAATAATGACTACATCCATGAAGATTTCCAGCCAGAGACCAATGAATTACAAGAAGAAGATAGGAAGTTCAAACTTGGTCACACACAGAAGTTGGATTGTTAACTGAAGAGCAGTTTGTGGTTACAGATGAAGCTTACCAAGTAGAGAATATCCAGCAATGAAAAGTTGCAGAAATACATATTATCTGAAGTAAGTTTAATAACTGAGAACAAATCCGACAGTAAAATGTCCACCTGTGAAGTAGAGGACCTGCTAGAACATACAACTAAGGATCAAAATGACAAATATCTCTATGAGGATTTTCAGATAGAAACTATCAATTCACAAGATAACGAGGCCAAGACAGCTCCCATAGAAGTAGAATGTTTACCCAAAGAACAGTTTGTGGCTGAAGAGCAGTTTGTGTTAAAAAATGATACTTCTCTAACAGATGAAGATAGAAATCATACTGAAGAAAAGCATGATTTCTCAAATGATACAAACAATACATATATTAAAGACATTGAGGAATATGAACCGCAACTTGAACGTGGCGATGAAATGGAGAGTGAATTGTATGCTTCACATATTACAGCATCTAATTTGGATAGTGTCTTAGGAGTGACAGATTTACCAGATTTTGAGGTTGAAAAGTTCTCTAAATTTCCTAAAGAACTTGACCTCCTATCGGAAATTCAGTGTATGCTTAGCCCAGATCACACACGTAGGTTTCCTGAAATAATGGATGACTTGAATTCAAATGGAAAAGTAGCTGTCCTTCTTGAAGACAAATCAGGTACTTATGTTGAAGAGCAAGCTTCAGAAATTATCAAGGATCGTGATAGTCCTTCTGGATCACTTTTAGAAGGTCACATTGGCAACAAAGATTTGAACTGCAGATCTACTTCAGACTCAAATGATGGAACAGACAAAGAGCTTTTGTTAGAAATTAAGTCTGTGGCAGCAGAACGCGATATTATGACTGCAAACGTTTCATCTTCTGTAACACTTGTACAGTCGGATGTGAGGGTGGAAGAAAAGGAAGAAGATGAAAAAGCATCCCATCTAACTTCAGGTAACTCTGTGGATGAAACTGAAGAATTTGTCAGTTTAGAGACCTCTGCTGTGGAAGAACGGGTCGACAATAAGCAGAAGGTCATAGCTATTGAAAATCTTGGATTCACTCATGAACCCAATGAAGATCAGGGTGAACTTAATCAACAAGATCCTCTTTTTGGAACTGTGGTCATTACCACAAGTGAATTAGAAGAATACATCAGCACTTCAGCAGATAGTGAAATGTCATTAACAAGTGAGCTGTATGGGCCAGACATAGATATTACGTCTTTAACACAAAACGGTCATATCCCGGTGGACATTGTTAATGAAGTGCAATCATCCTCAAATGAGGAAACCATCACAATCTACTTGAATGAAGTTGACCATGAAAACAGAGAACCCGGCATCAAGGAGGAAAATCTACCAATATTGCAGACATCATGTCATGAGGACATAACCATAGGTCAAGAGCAAACTCTAGATGATGAAATGGGAATGTCAAATGAACCAGCTGTGCAAGAAGAGGATGATTTAGACTTCAATGTGGTGAGCTTTGTGAACATTGATCTTAGACAAAGTAGAAGCTTCTGTGTGCTAAATACACCAACCCCACTGGTATATAGTACTGTTGGGTGAATCTCCCCAGGTTTGAACTGCCAAGGGTTGGGCTAGTTTTATTCAAAGTGTGGTGAACCAGAACTAAGAAATGAATCCCAGTGAGGTTTATGGGGGAAAATCTTGTTCCATTTTGGTCATTTTTAGGGATAATAGGCAAACTGCTGTAAAAAATAAAAGGCATACAAAGCTATGCATGTCTCCCATAGCATTGTCCAATTGGTCCTTCATTTGAGGAAAACATTGAAAATACACAAATCCTTCAAATAACATGCTTGGGGGATGCCTTAATGCTGTATGTGGTGTTTCAGTACTGAACAATTTTCACTAAAAACCCCAAAATACCAAAAGCCTGTTTATTTTTTAAAAGAAAAAAAAAGATGGCTATGGATGGACAGCTAAAAGTGACTTCTTGGCTGCTGACCTCAAAAAAGCCTCCAAATAATAAAAAAGCAACAAATGGGCTGATTACCCAAAGTGCCAGCAATCAAATTTAAAAGTACAGCTTCCTAACTGCCTTAATCCCTCCTCTGCAGTTTGTCAGCTTTCCTGGGTGAAACTGCACATAAATTCACACATTGACCATGAAACTTGAACCCGCAGGAGCCACCTCGAATCCATGGTAATGGCGAACTCAAACCTTGCCTCTAGTATGAAGTAGGGAATTGATGGCTTCTATACAGTTCTATGCAGTGTAGAGAAAGTAGTAGCTTGGGGTATGTATTATAGCACAGCGCACAGGTTGTATTGTCCTGCATTATCCTGTCCTACAGATATATTCTAACAGCCGCTGATTTATTTATTAATCTTTATTTATGATATGGTCAACTGGTCTCTAATGAAGTCATTTCTCTGCTTAGCCCTTTCACAGCATGCTGGATGTCAGCGCGCAGAAAAGCCGCGTCCTGCTCCTCAGAAAGACTTCAGTTCGCCGACGCCCAGGGCAGCGTCCGGTAACATTTCAGGAAGAGCTGGCTGATCCATTAGCACCCCCACCACTAGAAATGGGCGTGCCACTAGCTCCAGAGTCATCAAGTCCCACCGGAGAAGCGACAGAGACGAGCAACGCCTCAGAGCCATTATTACGTAGAAAGTCCTCTATTCGTCGACGGCCACGTCCAGCAACATTTCAGGGGGAGTCATCATTGCCATGGATCACATCTGCGGAGCCACCACACCCCACCGAAGAACTCGGGAATGAGAGTACCATCTCAGAGCAGACATTAAATAGAAAGTCCTCAATCCGTCAACACCAGGAACAGCATCCAATGGCATTTGAAGATGAGCCAATTGAGCAATCACTGCCCTTGATCATGCCGCAAAAAATGGGAGTTCCAAATTTTCTTGGGGGGATACCCATACTTTCACCAACTGTGGCCCCAGCTCCTGAATCACCACACCCTGCTGAGGAACCCAGGGATGAGGGTACCACCTCAGAGCCAATGTTACGCAGAAAGTCCTCTGTTCGTCGCCCCAAAGGGAAGCAACCAGTGACATCCGAGGACCAGCCCACTGGACCACCATCGTCAGTGACTGCGCCAATAAGAATGGGAGTGGCGCTATTCCCCGGGGTTCCTGCACATATGAGCTCAGCTCCTGTGCCATCACGCCCTGAAGAGGAACCCAAGGAGGAGAAGACGGCCTCAGAGGAACTCACTATAAAGCCAAAGAAGGGGTTCCTAAAGCATGCTGGGTATGCATAAAAACTAAAGTCATGGATCAATAAAAGAGAGATATTTGAAGGTACCAAAGGGCAGGAAATCTACTGACAGTCAGTAACTGTAAAAACCCTTTTAGAGAATACAGAACAAAGTATCATTTGTATGTGTTAATAATAGCAAGAAAAGCAGTAAAGTAGATACCCTGCAGCCAGCAACAATAGCTCCCCCCCAGCAACAATAGAACCTCCCAAGAACAATAGATCACCCAAACAACAGTAGCCCCCCATCAACAATAGGTCCCCCCTAGCAACAAAAGATCCCTCAGTAACAATAGATGCCCCCAGCAACAATAGACCCCCAATAACATTAGACCCCCTCAGCAACAATAGAACCTCCCAGAAACAATAGATCACCTCAACAATAGCCCCCCCATCAACAATAGGTCCCCCTAGCAACAAAAGATCCCTCAGTAATAACAGATTCCCCCAGCAAAAACAGACCCCCAGAAACAATAGCCCTCCCCTAGTCGCAATAGATCCCCTGCAACAAAATACTTCCCAACAATAATAGATCCCCAGCAACAATATACTTCCCAACAATAATAGATCCCTTGCAACAAAATACTTCCCAACAATAATAGATCCCCAGCAACAATAGACCCGCACCAGAAACAATACAGTAGATCTCATAGCAGCCAGCAACAATAGACCCCTACCTCAACAGTAGATCTCTACCAGTAGCAATTGACCCCCAGCAACAATAGATCCTCACCAGCAACAATAAACTACCCGATAATAAACAGATCCCCCAGTGACAATAGATTTTCCAGCAGCCAGCATCAGTAGACCCTCCAGCAACCCATTCAGTGCTAGAGGTGCCGGAACCGCGTTCCCGCCGAAAAAAAATCCCTGACTACTTCCCACTAAGAAATATATAACAAAGGTGGTTGTACAAAGAATAGAGGTACTTTTACATATTTTTTTGGTGCCTTCCCTTACCCACTCATCCTGTCTATACCCTCTACAGATCTCAAATCCGGTAGTAATCTCCTTCATGAACCTACGTTAGCTTTGATGGTCCTGCTTTCCAAGCCCTTGGGTTGTTGCATATTGTGCGTATGTGGATTTTCTGTTCAAAGCCAAAAAGGAAAAACAATTTCTCGCCAGGAACAGCGTTAGCTAGTATGCAAGGTAGCAGGAGTCTTATATGGGATGGAAAGAGGGGGGTCATTTGTCCTCAAATTATGTAAAAGTACTGTTATCCTCTAAATAGAAGCAAAGAGTACCCAGGACTGAAAGACACAACGCATGCTTTTCCTGCATGAAGATATTGCTGCTGAACTACAATGACAGCAAGCTTGTCTTTTTATATTTCCATGCAGTTGTAAAAATGGAGATACCACTTTACAGTCCCATCACTATCCTGCAGCATGATAGGCCCACCTTAGTTTTTCTGATATTTCCTTGTTCCTGCAAACATGGAGCCAGGATGGTGTAGTACTTGACCAGGGGCGGGCTGACAACTCATGGGGCCCCCAGGCAATAGGGGATCATGGGGCCCCTGTCTCCTCACCCACACTCAAACCACACCCAAAAAAGCCTATGAAAGGTACCAGGGGCATATCATGGGGCCCATTACTGACCTCGAGCCCTCGGGCAGTGCCCGAGTTTCTGAATGGTCAGTCCGCCCCTGTACGTGACTATCCGTGAGGAGTTTAAATTGAACACCGCAATCCATCAATCTAAGGTCCTCAAGCAGGGTCCGTAGCCCTGCATTGGACATGATTACGCTGATGGACTGTGTACCCCTGCAGCATACGGAAAAGATTTCTGCCAGGAGGGGAGCAGAGGGTCATGTAAGTAGAAGTGGTTTTACTCTTCCCTAGAATAAAGCAGCAGTTAACCCTTGAGGTGTCAGTGCAGCCCTACTGCAAGGGAGAATTTTTAGATTTCCTGGAGTTGGGCTTTAAAACTGATGGACCACTTTTGCTAAAACACAAATCTTATGCTGCTTTACCGGTGACTGCTACAACCTAATGGTCTATTTTACAATAAACAAACAAACAAAAAAAAAAAGATTTAGCACTGCTTCGCTTCTACAATTGTTCTCTCATACTTAGCGGTACAATAATGGGAACCTAATACAATATAATAGGAATAAATAGTGCAGTGCTAGAAATAAAGTGTTAATATACGTATAAATACACATGCAATAATGGTGATACCCTTGACATGGGGTATATCTATATTCACTCTTAGTGCTGTGAGCAGTATTATACAATGTAGTCCACACACATGCTGTACAGTGAGATCTCCACGTTATGACAAACACATGAATGGCTCTTTGTGCACGTGCTCCACACTGAGTGCAAACACACGGGATGTCAATCCACAGTGACAGGGGTGCCCCCTCACCTTCCTGCCCAGGCCACGTTCGTGGGAGGAGTCGTAGCGGTGACGCAGCCGACGTGGTGACGTCACGTCCGGCGTAGGGGCCATCTTGATACACCTTACCAGAGTCCATGCATGCAGTACACCCATAGTGTGGTGGAAAAGTCGGTTTACAACTACCTAAATGTGAGTAGGAACGTTACATTAGCGTTTTTATTGCCAATAAATGGTTTTACACTATGCTGGATTTCTTTGTCTTGCTGGGAACGTATATGGAGAGATTGCGGTTTCAGTGTTAATGAGAGGGTCCCAACACCACTGCTGAGGACGATCTGACGGGCTGTGGAGGAATAATTAAGCATCTTTTTTGGCTCATTGGTCCTGAGGGGCCTGGGCAGGAAGGTGAGGGGGCACCCCTGTCACTGTGGATTGACATCCCGTGTGTTTGCACTCAGTGTGGAGCACGTGCACAAAGAGCCATTCATGTGTTTGTCATAACGTGGAGATCTCACTGTACAGCATGTGTGTGGACTACATTGTATAATACTGCTCACAGCACTAAGAGTGAATATAGATATACCCCATGTCAAGGGTATCACCATTATTGCATGTGTATTTATACGTATATTAGCACTTTATTTCTAGCGCTGCACTATTTATTCCTATTATATTGTATTTTGTGCCTTGGGTGTGGCATTTCAAGTGCTGGCTGCTTTTTGCGATAGGGGATTTAATAGCGCAGGAGGTATACCATATATATACAATAATGGGAACCTGTTGTTCCCTTAATAATGGGCACATTCAGACCCCATTACCGTACCACAACCGTGAGACAGCTCTGTAATTTGTATAATTAGTACTGTGAAAGTAGAGTGACCGTGTCTTTTTCTGATAATACTGCAACGTGTATAGTAATTGGCAAGTGACCAAATTGCTGCAAATGCTGATTTCACCTTCTTAATGACAAACAATGAAAAACAAAACTTCTCCAATTATAATGATGAGTGTGAAATTCCCTCAGCTTCCCTCATAATTTAACTCCATTGGGGAAACCCTAATGGGGCCAAACTATAAATACGTTTTGTTAAAGACAGAAGCTCCCCCTTTCTTTTTCACCTCATTCATTCTCATTGCTGTTCAATGTGGGTTTTTTTTGTAAAAATAACCAGAGATATAGGCCACAGCAGAAAACTCCCCACTCAAACTGAACAGCACCTTCTATGGCTGTATAAATACCCTCATGGAAGAAAAATATATTTGAAATATGTTTTAAAAATATTCTTCCCAAATATATTGACATATATTTAAAATGCTACAATTTTGGCCATATCCGATATATTTCAAAATATATTTCAATAAAATATATATATATACTGCGTGTTGAAATGCGGTTTTTTATATATTACAAAATATATGAAAAATATTTTTCAAAATATATATTTTTTTAAATTATTCATCAGACTTTTTTTTAAAAAAAGTTATTATAACATATATTTTTACATATATTTGTAAATGCATTTCAAAAATGTAGATTTGAATTTTTAAAGATGTACAGCGTATTTGAAATGTATTTTAAAAAATATTTTTCATATATTTTGTAATAAAAAACGCAGCGCGGCGATCCCATATCAGTGCCCATCTGAGCTACCTTTCAGTGCCATCTATCAGTGCCACTCAGTGTCACCTATCAATGCCAGTCAGTGCTGCCTATCAGTGCTGCCAATCAGTGTCACCTATCAGTGCCAGTCAGTGCCGCCTATCAGTGCGCATCAGTGCTGCCTATCAGTGCGCATCAGTGCTGCCTATCAGTGCTGCCTAACAGTGCCAGTCAGTGCCACCTAACAGTGCCAATCAGTGCCACCTCTCAGTAGCATATATGAGTGCTGCCTAACAGTGCCAGTCAGTGCCACCTAGCAGTGCCAGTCAGTGCTACCTATCAATGGCATATATGAGTGCTGCCTTTCAGTGCCCATCAGTGATCCCTATCAATGCCCATCAGTGCCACCTACCAGTGCCTCCTCATCAGTGCCCATCAGTGCCACCTATCAGTGCAGCCTATCAGTGCCAATCACTGCAGCCTCATTAGCGCACATCAGTGAAGGAGAAAAATCACTTATTTACAAAATTTATAACAGAAACTAAGAAAAAAACTTTTTTTTTTTCAAAATTTTCAGTTGTTTTTGGTTTGTTTAGCAAAAAAATAAAAAAACCCAGAGGTGAATAAATACCACCAAAAGAAAGCTCTATCTGTCTAAAAAAAATTATAAAAATTTCACATTGGTACAGTGTTGCATGACCGCGCAATTGTCATTCAAAGTGTGACAGCACTGAGAGCTGAAAATTGGCCTGGACAGGAAGGGGGTATATGTGCTCAGTAGGCGAGGGGTGAAATAGGGACATGTGTGTTCCAGTGCCTTTTTTTAATGCATTTAGGTGCGTTCCAGTGTGTTTTTGATGCATTTTACTGTGTTCCTGTACAGAAAAAAATCAACTTTTTTTTTTCTGGAACTGGAACTCGTTGGAACTATGCCATTGGAAACCACACAAGCTACTGTCCATGATTTTGATGCAGAAATAAAACGCACGGGACTGCACGTGGTGTGTTAAACAGAGAAAGTGAGTGCACAGCCCAACACAGCGTGGTAAGAAATGGTAAGAAGCAAGGGCGGACTGACAACTCATGGGGCCCCCGGGCAATAGGGGATCATGGGGCCCCTGTGTCCTTGCCCACACTCAAAGCACACCCAAAAAGCCTATAAAAAGTACCAGGGACATTTAATGGGGCCCCCTACTGACCCTGGGCCCTTGGGCAGTGCCCGAGTGCTTGAATGGTCAGTCCGCCCCTGGTAAGAAGAGTTGAAAATCTGTGCAGTAGACTGCAATTCAGGAGCTGAACGTGTAAACATAGTTACATAGTTAGTCTGGCTGAAAAAAGACAAAAGTCCATCCAGTTCAACCATAGAAAAAATTAAAATTCTACACTTACAGTTGATCCAGAAACAAAAAGCTGAGATATGGAGGCTATGAGGCCCAAGGAGCTACAAATACGTTGCTCGCCTGACTTTGTTCTCCCTTCTTTCTATGGACAGGTTTGGAGGGGCCCACCCTGGGATGATGCAAGAACTGCAGGCTCGGCTCCACAAGAAGAAACCGAAAGAGTGACCGTAGAGAGGACAGCTCTGCATCATGTGTGCGAATGGTTACTTGGGGTGTAAATAAGGACTACAATAAAGAACAATAATTTACAATACTACTCCATGTGTATCCATGTAGGGTTCAGGAAGCCCTTAAAGTGACACTAAACTCTAGTTTTAAGAAAAAAAAAACCTATTCAAGTATATATTAATAACACATAAATGGTTAGCACTTCCACCTGGCAGTACTCGGGTCATTGGTTCGAATCCCAGCCACGGCACTACCTGCATGGAGTTTGCATGTTCTCTCTGTGCCTGCGTGGGTTTTCTACCACACTCCAAAGACATGCTGGTAGGTTAATTGGCTCCTGTCTAAATTGTCCCTAGTATGTGTATGTATGAATGTGAGTTAGGGACCTTAGATTGTACGCTCCTCAGGGGCGGGGACTGATGTGAATGTACAATATGTATGTAAAGTGCTGCATAAATTGACAGCGCTATATAAGTATCTATAATAAATAACACCCGGGCTGCTGTTAGAAATCATGGGGCCCCATACTGTCAACCTGACAGCCCCCCCAATAAATTTTTTTTTTTTTTACTATGCTTCAGTTATGAATGAACACACTACTGATTACCCACTGTGTTCATTCAGGAAAGAAAGGGGCTGGCAAATAGGGCCCCAAACAGCCAATTTGACAGGATCCCCCTCCCCAAATAAAGACAGTTTACTATGCATTAGTTATGAATGAACACAGTGAGCAATCGGTACCGATCACCCATTGTGTTCATTCAGGAAGGGGTGGTAAATGTGACATATTGACTGGACCCTTCCCCCACTCTCCATCCTGAAGGATCCTATTGTGTGCTTGCAGCTGCTGGTGGGAAGGAGAGGAGGGAAGATGGCAGCACTGCAAGGGGGGGGGGGAGATCTGGGCAGTAGGGGGAAACATATGGTGCACAGGGAGGATGATTGGTGTGGCGAGGGGGGCAATTACTGGAACCGATCCCCTGTATGGCTCTCTCTGCAGCAGCTGAAAGCCGGTAGGAGGGAGAGGAGCTAAATAAATTATACCTTTAGCTGCTGCAGAGAGAGCCATACAGGGAATCGGTTCCAGTAATTGCCCCCCCCCCCCCCGGGTGGACCAGTCACCCCCTTGGCCCACATCTGATTCAACTAGTTGCCTAGGCCCCCTGCTGGCTTGGGTCCCATACAGGAGGACCAGTGGTTCCCCCTTATCCATAGTCCTGATGACAGTGACCACCCTAGCACAGGGAGAAAACCAAACCTCACACTACCCTTCCATTATATTAGAACATCTGAGCCTGTCAATCACTGAAATCTAAAGAAACGTAGACACAGACGGGACAAAGTCCTTTAGCACCCAAGGTGAACAAGCCAAAGTGCACCCCCTAGCCATGGACTGTGAACTACATCAGTAGCATTGGATGCAAGTCCTGAGCCCCCTTCTGCTGAAGTGCCCAAGGTGACTGCCTCTTCTGCCTACCCCTCTGCTTGGGCAGAAGCCTTTTTTAATTATAATAGTATTAAGGGACCCTTGCTGCCGAAGACGGGTGTCAAACTGAAGACCCTCCAACTGTTGCCAAACTACAAGTCCCATGAGGCATTGCAAGATTGACAGTTACAAGCACGACTCCCAAAGGTAGAGGCATGATGGGACTTGTAAGCACAGAGAGGTAAGTGAACGCTAAAAGTCAACTGAGCTGCTGAAACACCAAAAGGTACCAAAAAACCTCCAAAGCATCAATATAAAATCGGTGCAGTGCTAAAAACTTAAAATATCATATGCACATATGCAAAAATATATCAAATATATAAATGAGAACATTCAATAAAGTGACCGTGTGACACAGAGGAGAGAGGAGGCGGCACAGTACCGGGGCTCTGCACTCCAGGCACGGAGCTGTATGAGTGGGGTGGCATAGCCATTGCTGACAGTGGAGGAAGCAGTGAAGGAACATCAGACCAGACCATGCTCACCTTTAAAGGGGCCTCCAGTTGATCTACTGAGAGAGTGTTATCTCTAAATGCGCCAATTGATTGCGCATCTGGTGAGTGCGCAGTCTTTACACCATTGGTCACATCACCATATTACTGGATAGATCACCAGCAATTGAAGATCACTATCAGATCTTCCATGCACCCATCTTTGGACATTATAATTTTTTTCAAGCACTATATTAAGCACCATTGGTCACTACATAGTGACAGAGTTATATACTACCACTAAGTCACTTTATTTGGTTGATATTTTAGCACCTTATCACTGGTCACTTTATTGAATGTTCTCATTTATATATTCCGATATTTTTTGAATATGTGGTTATTATATTTTAAGGTTTTAGCGCTGCACCCATTTTATATTGATAATGGGACTTGTAGTTTGGCAACAGCTGGAGGGCCGCCAGTTTGACACCCTTGTTGTAGAAGAATTATATGGGCCTATTCTGACTCCAACTGTTGTATTAGTGATTTATCCCTTGCTGAGACCTCTATGCCTGGCCTGTATAAGCAGATACAATGACCGCGGACAGTCTTTATCCGATTGCTGAACTCACCAAATACCTGTTTTCTCATCCACAAAATCTTTATTGCATGCAGCAGGTTACCAGCAGACAACAGATGCGGCAGATGATTGAAAATACGGTATTTGCAGGTCAAAACATGGTAATGTGTCCCCAGATGCAAGCAGATTACATGAATAGCAGCCATATTTATCCCAATAAAGACAGAGTAAAAAGGAAGAGGAAATACATCACAAGTGGGAGGGACACAGGGTGGAAGACAGAAAAAGATGGTGCAATACCCAAAATAAGCACAAGATGGCAGCATATTACCTAACTATACTGAGGCTAATAAACAATGGCTTAAGAAAAATGAACTACAAGCGTATCTCGGTTTACGAATTTAATGCATTCTGCGGGACTTTTCGTATTGCGAAAAATTTGTAAACCGAAACGCGGTTTCCCATAGGAATACACTGAAAATTAATCTGTTCCGGATGTCAGAAAAAAGTTAAAAAAAAAGTCTTTTATCTGTTCAAAACTCTTTATAAAGTGCAATTAAAGGCATAAATACTGTATAGGGACATGATTAAAAAAAATTTGTAAATGCATTGAAAACCAATTAATCCATTCCGGAGGTCATAAAAAAGTCAAAAAAAGTCTTATCTGTTCAAAACTCTTTATAAAGTGCACTTTAAAGGCATGAATGTACAGGGACATGATTAAAAATAAAATTTGTAAATGCATTGAAAACCAATTGATCAATTGATCCGTTCCGGAGGTCATAAAAAAGTAAAAAAAGTCTTATCTGTTCAAAACTCTTTATAAAGTGCAGTTTAAAGGCATAAATACTGCATCGGGACATGATTAAAAAACATTTTTGTAAATGCATTGAAAACCAATGAATCCATTCCGGAGGTCAGAAAAAAGTCAAAAAAGTTTTATCTGTTCAAAACTCTTTATAAAGTGCACTTTAAAGGCATGAATACTGTACAGGGACATGATTAAAAAAAAAAATTTGTAAATGCATTGAACACTAATGAATCCGTTCGTATTGCGAAAAAAAAAAATCGTAAACCGAGGCATTACCCATATGGAAGAAAAATATATTTGAAATATATTTTAAAAATATTCTTCCCAAATATATTGACATATATTTGAAATACTACAATTTATGTCCATATTCAATATATTTCAAAATATATTTCAATAAATATATATATTTACTGTATGTTGAAATGCATTTTTATTACAAAATATATGAAAAATATTTTTAAAAATACATTTCTAATAAATAAAAAATAATTTAATATATATTTTTAATATTTTTAAATATATATTAATTATATAAAAAATATAATATAAATTTTAAATATATTATAAATTTTTATTTATATAAAAAAAATATAAATTAAAAATAATTTATTAATAAATATAATAATAAATTATAAATTAAAAAAATTAAATAATAAATTTTATATATATATATATTAATTAAAATTAATAATTATATAATAATAATAATATATATATTATAAATATTTTTAATTAAATTTATATTATTATAAATATTATAATTATTAAATAATTATATTAATTAATTTAATATTATAATATATAAATATCCTGTATGTCTTTAAAAATACAAATCTACATTTTTGAAATGCATTTACAAATATGTGTAAAATATATGTTAAAACTACCTTTTTATATGTTAAAAAAAATCTGAAGAATATATTTAAAAAATATATATTTTTAAAAATATTTTTCATATATTTTTGTAATATATGAAAAACACATTTTAACATGCAGAGTATATATATATATTTATTGAAATATATTTTTAAATATATTGAATATGGCCAAAATTGTAGTATTTCCAAAATATGTCAATATATTTGGGAAGAATATTTTTAAAATATATTTCAAATATATTTTTCTTCCATGTGGGTATTTTCAATGGATTTTCATTCGTAAACCGAAAATTACGTAAACCGAGGGACTGTAAACCGAAGTACACCTGTATATAAATAATAATAGAAGTGAGCGCTCCTAAAATAAGCAGCTGAACACACAAGGAAACCAAATAAAACCTCGTCAAATATGTAAAAATAGTGCAGCGCTATGAATAATACGAAATGAATCCAATTAAAATGTCCTAAATGTTAAATAAATTGTACAAGCGTGACAGTCTATGTAGTGTGAATAACATAATATTTTCAATCCAGTGGTGGTGCTCCCAGTAGTAAAGTAAGAATTGCGCACTCACCAGAAGCATAATAAAATTACGCGGTGTCTATATCAACAAAGGTCCCCTTCACAGGTCTGGGTCCGGGCTGAAACATGAGATGATTCCCCCTCCAGGAATATGGATATGAGCTCTCAAAGGATGTGAATGGATCCTGCAAGCCAGAGGTCCCTTTAAGGGATAGGTGGGTATGGATGCCTGTTTACAGGTGCTTCCGTCTCTGGATGGATGAACTGGAGACTGGATCGCGGCAA